GGGAGTGGGAGCTGGAAGCTCCTGCCACTGAGCCTGGTCTGCAAATGAACCAGCAGCAGGAGCTGGGCTTATTAATCTGACCGGTGTTTTGATCTCCTGGGGAAGATCAGAACAGAAATAGCCAGGAAGGAGCAGCTCGAAAGAGAGAAACTGTGATTTCCACAGTCCCGGAGGTACAGGCGTTTTAGCTGGGTTCTTGCTCTAGCTGGCACCTCCGAGCAGCTCCATGTGCACGGGAGGCTATGGCCCAGCCCCTGTAGCATGTGATGAGGCAGCCAAACGTGGCTCAGGACCTGAACCCAGAGGCCAGGAACATGAGCTTACACAGGCTGGGAGGGATGGGAGGTCTCAAGTGAGCTTTCTTCAGCTTCCCCTTGCAGTGTTTTCACTGCAAATGTAGCAGGGGGTGGACAGAGGAGGATGGGGATCACAGGGGCTGGTGCTAGAAGGAAAAGAGCGTTGAGCTGTCAGAAAGGAGCAGGCCCGTTGCTCTTTTAGATCAATAAGGCTAACAACTGCCCTGAGCTGTTCCTCGGGCTGGTGGAGTGGCTAGCGCTTAGGTGAAGGATGGCTACTTTGACTTCTCTGCACTTCAATGGGTCTATGCATTCTACTCTTACACTTCCTAAAGCAGCTGCGTGGCGAGGAGGAGATTAAATGTCTGACCTACCATCCTTTGACAGCAGACACCTGATTTGCATGACCCTGCCCATTATGGCTATCTCAAAACTTGCATCCAGCTGCTCTGAATCAGAGTGGTCAACCTGTGATTTACACAGCACAAGGCAAAGAATGCTAAAAGCCAAGGGGTGGGAAACACAGTGAGGAGGGGAGGCAAGGATCATTTTATAGAGCAGCCAAGTGGCTCAATTAGCAAGTTGTTTCAATGGCACTTCTGGGACAGCAGAGCCGAGAAAACCTGGCCTTGGCATCTCCCACACAACTGCCTTGAAGAAGAGGCTGCACAAGCACCATCCGTATTGATGGTGCTTCTGGAAACACCATCATTTTGACCAGCGGTTCATCCCTCAGATTATTCAGCTTTTCACAGAGGACCAGTACATTCGTAAGCGAGTTTCATCAACCTGTTTGTGTTCCATCACCTAGATTTACTGCTAGTGCCTCAGTTCATTTCAGACAGCATTTATGGTAACTCTCTTGTAGGAGAGAGCTGCCATAAGAGCTGTGAGGAGTACAGGGCTTCACTTTTAATTGGAGAAAGGGGAATTTAAACATGTGTGAGATGGGTACAATAGGTCCAGCTGGGGAGGCTTGCTGCTGTAATTGCTCTGGTTTTCAATGCACTGGCACATTTCATGTGAAACTGCTTTGTAGACTAGTTGGCACATTGAACTTCTCAGCATCTTACTTCTAACAGCGCAGCACTTGTTTTGTTCTCACTGAAGATCACTTGTGCTCCCCAGATGAAATCCAGAAGCACCAGATTGAGAGGCTGGGGGCAGATGGTGTCAATGGGACCAGGCACACCCACCAAACCAGTGCAAAACCCACTTCTGGCCCCAGCTCCACGATAAAAGCTACTTACTAGTAGCAGGTAAGCAGCAAAGTGGGACTTCGGCCAACAGAAACCTTAGCATAATTTGTCTTTTTGGCTCTGGGTTCCTGTTTCTCTTGTCATCCAGTCTAAATTGCATGGTGGTGCCTGTCTCCTGCCCTTTAGGCCAAGGGCATTTCAGGACAACACAGCCAGCCCCTACTGTGCCTTGGGACTGGGTTCCTTAAGCTGCAGGGGCAGAGGTAGACCCTTTGCTTACAAGTTTTAGCTGCCCACATCCAACCCTTTCAAAACCAAAGGTTTTGCTGTTCCAAGTTGGTCTCCTCCAATACTGACAGATGGCCTCATCCAGAGGCTCACGCAGAGCCCTTGATCCAAGTGATTTGTCTACTAAGACCACAGCGTTTGCACGGTATTGAAGTTTCACAAATGAGAGGGAAGACAAGCTTCTCTTAGCTGAACAGCCACACACAGCAATGCCAAGGTTTCCATATTAATAAAAAGCCAACAGCATTACAGATAAATGTATTTTAATTCAGATTAAATACTATCTCAAGATACCTTGAAATCGCACTTGTACTGTACTAATCAACAGCCAGAGGCAATAAAAAAGGTCTGGAAACTTAAAAGTTCTAACATCCAACACATGACAGTAAGTGCTGCCATTTAAAGCGACAAACACCGCTCCCAAGAACAGAGATTCTCTGAGGAAAAGGTTGTAACATTTTCGTATGGACCAAAAAAAAAAAAAAAAAAAAAAGAGAAAAAAAAGAAGATTTAAATTGAAGACCAGAAGAAATATATTAGTGCTGCCTTTTTAAAAGGGTTGGTTTTTTTTCCTTTTTTACATTAAATACAGTTTTCTTTAAAAGCAAGGTACTTCCTAAACTCATTGTTTATATACTGTATGTACACAAGAGCAGAACATTGTACAGTGTATTTGGATAAAGCAGCACTAACTAGCTAGAAGCTGGTACGGTGTTGCTGAACCAAATGCAAGATGACAGGTTTAAGCGCTCTAGGAGAAGTGTCTCCATGGTTGTATGAGGAAAGGAAAGTATCATGTATGTACAAACCGATCATTCAAACAAACTCAACATCATTTGCCATGGAACTGTACATGCTGCAGCTAATCAATGGAAGTCTTACTGCAAGAACTCATCTGAGAAACCCAAAGTAACCGTTTTCTTCCAGTAACAAAGTGCATTACCCATGCAGAGAGCACTTACACAAGTCGTCACCCCGTGGGGTGCAGGGCTCTGAGAGCAGATTCTTACTGCAGCCTCAAGCAGCCACCTGCATTTTTCCACTATACAAAATACGAAATGCCCCAACCAAACCATATGGAACTGAGATTAAAGCTACATTATTATCTGTATGTGCACTCTGCCTTTCTGCAGACAGCTACAGATTAAAGCAGAAAGTCTGCACCCAAGTATCACCAGCTCAGACTGAAATGGACTGGCAGTGATTTCCATAGTTAGTGCAACATTAACTCCTATACTTTATCAAAGTGACTTACTGTTCTTCAGATGCACAACATGCTTATTCAGGTCTTACAAAACCAGACAAATCAGAACATTGTGCAGAAAACTGGTTTCAGGTTTGCAGATATAGATATTTTTCAGTCTACCCCATTAAAAACCACCAAACTTAGAAATAGTTTGTGCCCTGGTTTGAAGTCAATTGCCTCAAAAAATTACTTTTTATTCTAGGGTTAGCAGTGGGGCAGAGAGATTAAGGTTCTTCTTGTTACATATACTTTTAATTGTCATTCAGAAGAGGTTATTTGCTGTACTTTCAGGATCCTGTTTGTCCTTGTCTTAGCCACTACACTGGTTTAAGGAACTGAATGTTTCTTTGATGGAGGACAGAAGTGAGACAACTTGTTTCTAAACTGCATCAACTTAAAAGTTTCAAGTTTTAATGGTGTAAAAAATCTGACATTCCATTACAGTTAAGAGAAACTTGCTACACAGCAAACTGCATCCAAATCTACCAGTTATTGATGGGACCTTTAAATGAACTGTTAACAAGTTATTCAAAGCATCCAGACCTGGAAACATCAGATCACCCAGCGAGTGAGCCAGCAACTCCCTCCCCCTTTTTCATGAGGCTTTAACAAATGCAGCTGATGTGACCTTAGCACTGGAGCCAATGACTTCCATTGGTTAACTCCAATACCCAAAAGAGCTAGGGAGATCCTCTGTTAAGCCCAATGCAATATGCATTAGTGTCATGGAGCAGGAAGATCCCAGTGTCTACTTGTTAGAAGTTCACACAAACCATACAGATACAGACAGGATAAAACACAGACTCAAAAGGATCCATTATGCTTGAAGAAAATTCCAAATAAAATGACATCCTCTGCACAGCCCAGCCTCAGACACAGCCACACCTTTATCTAGTATAATAAACTCTGTAGTAAACTGTTTTTGACCTCCATAGAGAGTAGGAGTTGTCAAATTTAAGAAGATAAACTCCTCTCCCTGGGTACTGGTGGCTGCCAGCATACACTTCTTCGTGACAGTCTCGTCTGTACACAGGCACTATTTCATCGAGCTGAGGCTTGTTGGCATTCTTTTTGGCTTTTTCTTCACTGCTAGTATTTTCTGCAAGGAAAAAAATAAGAAGGTGTCAGTTAACATGGGTGGATGCTTTACAAGAGAAAGTCAGACTGATCTGTGGTGGACAAGGCACTCTTTGTGAGGTCAGAAATCAGATGGGTCAAAGGGGTTCATACCGAGGCAGTGGCTAAAGCATCCAGAAGCAGGAGGCACAGTGAGCATGCTCACTTTATAATGGATTTTACAGTTTGATATTAAAACTCTCCATAAGCAAAGCCGGGTCAGTTTGTGGAGATGCCAAGCTCTAGTTTTCATGAAGACATTACCCCACGTTGACTGCTACTGATCTGACATACACACTGCTATGATTACTTGGGGGTAATACCCAGAAGGCCACTGCTTCCTGTGTCAGAGCAGCTCCTTCCAAGCACATCGCTTGCTCATTTCAAAGCACTTTTTCCTGATGGCATGCTAGGCTCCCCCACAGGCAAAGGCTGTGACCTGTGTCCTGCCCACTGTCGGGAGCTGCTCTCTTAAAAGCTGTTTTGCTGAAGCCTTGAGGGAATTTCCTCCCTAGAAAAAGCTCATGAAGAGCAGGGCAGGATTTTTCTTAAGGTTTTCAGGTGCAGACCCACTATGCTCTGTCATGGCAAGGGTTTCAATCTAGGTTACTGAATAGCTGAACTGGACAAGAGGGCACACTAAGGAGTAAGTTAAACTCAGGAAAAGCATTTTCCCCACCCTCAACTGCTTTAACTGTAACCAAATGAGGTAATTAAAATTACTTTCAGAATCGCACTTCCTGTTGTAAACTGAAGGCAAGATTCCAGCTAGATGGAACTCAGAGAGATTACACAAGATAAGCAGTTGTGTTTTCCCCCATGGCAAGCTCTGCAGGACTGGAAGATTACATAAATAAGCACACTTACCATCTTCCTCATCCTCATCATCACTGGATTCGCTGACATGCACACTGACTGCAGTATTAGGGGAGTCTGTCCATTCAAAACACACCCCAAAACCAATGTCATAATTGTCTGTAGCAAACTCCCAGAAGAGGTAAGAGCCCTCCTCATGAGTTGGTACTCTAACTGTAACAACTTCTCCTCGGCCCACTGTGATCACAGAGTCTGCATCCTGCCGGATTTTCTCCTTGAAGTCTCTTATCTGGGGTCGTGTCCACATCGATGGGGCAGCTATCACTGGAACAGAATCTGGAGAGAGGGGAGGAAAGACTCCAGTTAAGCTTTGTTTCAGTTACTTGCGCTGCATGTTTGAGTGTGCCTTAGGGACACTTGAGGACCACAAGCATCAGAGATGCTTCCAAGTAATTTTTGCTTTCATTTCCTTAAGAAACATCTTTTCATGGTTGAAACCTGCACAAAATGCAGTGCAAGTTTAGATATGACACTGCACATTTGAATCCTACCAGCGTGCCCATCCACCACACTTAAACTAACAGTGCTTACGCATAAAAGACTCAGAAGACTAATTTACTATGACAGGTGATGAGGTTACATTGCACAGAACCCTTCACTGAAAGGAGTTTTAATAAGACAGAACCAGAGGTGGTGTATTTGTGTAGCAACTGTCAGATCCTGACTAGAATAACTGGACACCTCATTATGCAGACAGGGACCATGATAGTGTTGGTTTCATACTGGGATCCAAAAAGTCTCTGGGGCTTGGAGCAACCTACTCTAGTGGAAAGTGTCCCTGCCCACAGCAGGGGGTTGAACTAGATGAGCTTTAAGGTCCCTTCCAACCCAAACCATCCTACGGTGATGATTCCATGACTGATGGTGGATGAAGCACCAGAGGCAACACCCATAAATACCAGCAATGAGATTGCTGCTGGGAAGCAACTTTTCCTGTCCTCCTTCCACACCTTCCTAGAAGCTGTCTGAGGAAGGTGGGAAATGTGAGGGGACGGCAATCTGGACTGCATGCAAGTAGGGCACCGTTCAGAGAGAGTTAGAATTCAGCTTTATTTTACTCTGCAAGGCTAAATCATTCAGTTTTGACCTGAGTTCAAACATTCTATATTTCTACACAAAATGGCTTTCTGCTGTAACTTTTATGCTCCTTTCCTTCAAGTCAAGGGTAAAAAGAGGTGCTGGATCCCATCCACTTTTCTTGAAATGCCTTTGCC